CATCAGACGCATCCCGTGTCCATCACGAATGAAAGTGTTAATGGAACTCCGAATTACAACGGATACCCATTCGGCATGGTGAACTTAGCTTTTCTTTGACCCTTTCCATTCCTTTCCCTTCAGTGAACCCTAGGGCGAAGTCTTCCAGCCAATATTTTGTGGCCATTCCTAGGGTTTTTCACCGACAATGACTTCGACAAAAGTATGGTCCTCTATGTAGAGCTTTTTTAGATTTCTACAAAACGCTTCTAGGTTCTTCTCGTTGTTGCTTGATGTTGGCGGGGGTAGGGGAAGCTGGGCCACGTCTGAGTGCAATTGGGTTATAGGGTTATCCAATTCGGGTTATCAAGCTTCCGCGGATCTATCTTCATGGTCAAGTGCATATTGACAAGGACACCTACACCCCTAATACCTCTTCCAGACATGTTTGGTGATACAAATCTTCTTGAGTATCGAAAACTATGTGTAGCAAGCGTTACTTTCGCTTCTCGGTCAGTCCATTGACATGGTATTTGATTACCTTTCCAAAATGGTCAACAAGTATAATAGTTACTTACAGTTTTTTATATCGTGATCCCGTTTCATGTGACCTATGAAGGTAGACCATGGAGTTCTTACCTGCTATTTGGTGCAGGATTTCCTGAAGGGCATCCTAACTGCAAAGTCTAATGTTGAGATGATTGTTGAGGGGATAGCTGGTGTGATTAATGTCACTATGACCTGAACAATGACAGTTCGGCCGAAAAAATCCATGTTTAATATATCACGATACACAACAATCACACTGAATTGCGAATATCAAAGCAAAAATCATTTATTTATTATTTATTGAAGTGAAAATTGTGAATATGTCGAGGTGCTATCACTCCGTAATCGTTTCGTCTCGTCTCAATGGCTTCAACACATTACCAGCAAATTGTCCAGCTCGATTATTATTACCAGCAGGACGATAGAATGCCACAATCACTTGATCTCCTGGAGATGCTAGTTTGCCACTTCTGGAAATCAGGATCCAGTTACGATTATGTAGAAGTCCAGCGCCGTGCAATAAGAGCGATTAAAATAGGGCTTAGCGCGTTTTGTGAGGCCACGGCAAGAGTTCCTATTCAAAAAGCTGGGAGGCGGGAAGAAATGGCAAGAATACTCAGGCTCAGGGCTCAAGGAGGCCAGTAATTGAAGGCATCGTTCACGATAAAAACGTTTCCTTCTAACAAAAAAAAAATGTACTATTATCCCTAAGGGTAGCAATGGGAACGTTGTCGAGTCGGAATACGGCTGAGATAGGGCGTAATAAGTTTAACCAAAGTACACACCCGAGGCGGGCAAGTTCTCGCGCCATTCTAGAAATACAGTTGCACCATTCGCACCGGGACGCATACGTTGCACGCAAGCAGCTTACTGTAGCCAGCTGTATGTAGTCGCACACACATTAGGACAGCTCCTTCGAATACCCCTTCCGTGAAACTGCTGCAATCACATTCCCGTCCGACCCCTAATTTCGCTATTTTTTGAAGCCTTACATTTCTCTGAATACGCCGTTTTTCACTTTCTTTTTCCCTCCATTTCTGTACTACTCTGAACTACCCCTTCCTGGACTATCCCTTCCATTACTCGCCCAGTCTAAAACTCGTTACCCAAAATTATCGTGAACTGAGCTTCCAATGTATCAACATACTGAAGGGATGGTGGTAAGTTCGGTCAGCATCGTGCTTTTTCAGTTAATGTGGCAGGGAGTACGACAGCATTTGTGAAGAGCGGGGTTAGTCAGAATGTGTAAACGATTGTAGATAAAGAAGATCCCCAACTTCTGCTGACATAGGGTAATAGCAGCTACAGAATGCATACTTTACGACTAGCTTGCATGCATAAGGAAATATGTGGTAAATTCGTGCAAACCTCAAAGGCGTTTTCCTATTTTGATTTTCCATAGTATCAGGTTCTACGAACGCTCGCCCTATCCCAACCTGCAATGGACTGTTATAAAAGACGTCTACATAAAAGGTTTCTCAGTATGCCACGTCACCTCTTCTGTTTCTTTCCAGATTACTTGTGTGAAGTAGTTCGTTCCACATTGCCAGCCAGGAGTATCGTATTCGTATTTCTCATGTTCTTCATACCAGTGCTCAACAACTAAACACATCTCTGCCCAATGACTACTTCTATATAATCTGCTAAGCAACCATCGCTAATCGAAGACTCGAGGGGAAACAGTACTGCGCACTAAGTACTATATGCTGTAAAAGCATTCTTTGCTGTAAATAAATAGTAAAGCCGTCCGATTGGAGGTTCCAAAGACATTGCATGTAAGGAGTAGGCCATGGATTGCGAAAAGCACAAGTTGTGATCCGATTAGTCTTGCAGACCTTGCTATAATGAGATGTTGAACTAAAAGAAGTACCATGTACCGTAGTCTCGGAACGAATTGACCAACGAGTGGTGCAAAAAGGAGTCAAAGTTAAGAAGCCATGGTAAAACGCCCACTAAAGGGCGAGTCAATCGAACCATCAGCAGATCAGCAGATGTTTCGTTGAAATGGTATCTCGATCCCACTAGATAGACGTTCATTAGAACGTGCGGGCGAATGGAAGAGAAGCGGATCTCTGGATCCGAAAATTTTACCGATCAAGAAAACTTGTGCCCTCGTGTGCTTCGCAAAGCGATATTCCAAACCTATTTTTTCACTCACATTGCAAATCTTGACTTCACCGTTAAGAACTGGTTTTATCAATGAAAATATATCGAGGACTCACTGGAATCAGGATCGAGGTCACGAGGGAAAAACGTGATATTCTCTCCTAGTCCACTCATTTCCTTGTATGTTACGTAGGCTTGACGAGCAACCTTTTCGGCCCACGCCTGCGCTTGGGCGGCCAGCTGATCGTTCCATCGCAAGTCAGGTACTCCATGCTAAATAACGAGTTGATAGAAATCGCATTCCTTCAATCCTTGGCATATAGTCGCCAACATATGCATGCAATGGATTTACAGTTCAATTCGAAAACTATCATATGAGAACATTGAATCCAAGTGATTCTTGCCAAAATTTGGTTAGACCGTGTGAACGATGGCATTCAAAGACAGAAGAAGGGTTTAGCACCATCGTAAGCTAGCTTTTATTTAACCCTCTTCCAACACCATTGTAAGCCGATCTTGATGATGCTCGAATTAACTTTGTTACCTTTTCATAGAGCAACAGTTTTCCTGAGAATAGATTGGTAACTGAGTATCAGGATCGTCTGGAACGATGTAAGCACCAACTTGTGCAGCAGCAGGTCTCGTCACAGCAAAGGTCAAATACGCTTTCAAACGCTACAACGCTCCGAACTGGAGAGCCTAATTCATAGGGGCATCCCAAAAAGGGGTCCAGCGAAGCCGAGAAGTTCTCCTTAGTTTTTTCTTCTGCTGATCCTCATTTATCCTTCATTATTTTTTTTTTGTTACACAAGAGACGAAATCGAGATGATTCATCTCAATTTAATTCACTAATTGAATTATCGATTATTTACAATTATTTACTTGATCCTCAAGAACAGCTCTCTCAGATTGAACTGTTTAATTTGAAAGCTATTAAGCCAGCCAAGAATAAATTTTTCTGCCCCTCTACAAGGGAGCTTCACTTCAGCTAGCTCATCTGTCACTCTGGCCAATTCGCCCATCATTTACCACAACTGTTATCCCATAAAATCCAATCTGGGGCTTACCGGAATTTCTTAGGTTTCTCTCAAAATTTAACTGAAAAGTCTAGATTACAAAAGCTGTGCTTGGAAGCCTCGTGAATGCTACATGACGTGTTGCCACAAATTAACATCCAGGCCCATATATAAAGAATAAAAGATAAAGTTTTTGACGTTAATCAATCCCGTCTGAAGGATGCGCCCCCGCACTCGACTTTCATTCAGAATCGTAGTGGCGTAATGAGTGCGTATTTGGCTTATACAATGACTTGCGGTGGCCAGCCGATGTACAAGTCAGT